CCCCCCAGTTTTCTCTGGAGAAGCCCCAGTGAATGCTGCTGACAGATCATCTTCCCCCCAGTTTTACTGAGGTACGATTGACACAGCACGGGATAAGTTTAAGGTATACAGCGTTGTGACCTACCTGTGCTGCGCAGTGATGACCACAGTAAGTTAGTTACTATCCATCACCTCCTATAGGTACCAGAATTAAAGATGTTTTTTCCTTGTGATAAACTCTTAGCATCTCCCCTCTGAACAGCTTTCAAACACACCGCCCAGCAGTGTCAGCTGTGCTCATGCTGTGCGTTTCCCCGGTGCCTGCTCGTCTTATAACTGACGCGCGTGCTGGACCCCTCTTCCAGTTCCCACCCCAACCCTGAGCCCGATCTCCTTCCTTCAGGTGTGTGTGAAAGGGCCAAATGTATTCCAAGGCTACTTGAAGGACCCGGCGAAAACAGCGGAAGCTCTGGACAGAGATGGCTGGCTACACACAGGGGACATTGGGAAGTGGTTACCAGTAAGTGGTCCCCTCCCTGCTCACAGACGCTTTCATCGCTCTGGGGGGAAGAAAGTCTCCCATTTGCTGTACACCTGCCATGAGCGGCGCTCTGCCTCTGCGCTTTCCCTTTGTCCTTGCTGGGTGGTGTGGTGTGGACACTCCTATGTAGGATTTTCCTGGAAACTGTTTCAGATGTTTTGTTTTGATGTTTGCCGTCAATTCTGGCTGCTGCTTCCTGTTTGAAAACGGAGAGCCTGTGGCTTTTTACCTGTCTGTGCTGTGCCTTGAGGTTGAAGCCTTAGTTGAACAGGGGTGGGGGCCGTTGTGTAGACTGCCAGGAACAGGGGGCAGGAATCTGAATAGGTGGGTTTCTTAGGTTATTCGTCTGGTTAAAATACAACAGGTGTTTCACAGATTAGACCACCTTCTTTCAATTTAGTCTCAGAACCATTTACTGTAGAGAAAGTCCAGAAGCCATCTGAGGAGCAGGAGGCTCTGCAGAAGTGCTACCCAGAGATAGGGCCAGTTTTGCTGCTGCGGTAGCAATCACTGCTGTTTACAGTCGTTACTGTGTTTAACTGCAAGCACTAGAATGGCTAATGCAGTGTTTATTGTATGTTGTTTCTTATACATACAAGGTGCCGAATACTGTGAAGTTTTTATTGATTTGAAAAATGCCTCCCTAATTAATTCCGATTTCAGAATACCCAACTGTTTAGAAATAAGTTAAGTTCCTCTTCCCAGGTCCAGGAGGGGTTAAGTATCCCTTCTCGTCCTGGCTCTGGCCCTAGTGAACACAGCCTGTAGCCTCTGCACTCCGTCTGCTCCTGCTGAAAGTGGAGGGGATGGATGTGGAATGAGAGCTGAGGACGTTTCCAACAGATGGCTGACTTTCAGAAGCACGACAGTGGCCCCAGGGTGGGGATGGCTTCACAGTCGGGTGGGCACTGCTGGCATTTGGCTGGTCTGGTCCAGAGATTCCAGTGTCCCTGCAGTTATTATGTGGGCAGTTGACCATCTCTTCCAAAGGGCCAGGAGCACCCCATCCCCACCCTGAAACAGTGATAAAGACTCTGGAACTGCCTTTGGGTAGGAAGCATTTACTGAGCCCTTAATCTGTGCGCAGCACTGTGGGAGGGTCAGTCTGTGTCTCTGCTCTCAAAGAACTCAACTCAGTGGGAGAGGTAGATGTGTGTCCCCTGTTCAGATGTGAGGCTGCATGGAGCTGCTACGTGGAAGGCTGTGAGCAGGGCGCTGCCAGTTGGCTGACAGGCGGGAAAGGGAATGAGGGTGAGCTCTGATCCCTTCTCTGTCTCCATACTTGGTTCAGTGGCCTTGGGCAAGCTACTTAATCACTCTGAGCCTCAGTTTCCCTCTCTGTAAAAAGGGATGTTAACTGACCCTGCCAGGCATGATTAGGATGAAATGATGGTGCACATAAAATGCCCTGTGTTGTGTGTGATTGGTCCTGGGTAGAAACCAGCCTGGCCCACTCACAGCCCCTTCTCTCTGGTGAACAGAATGGTGCCTTGAAGATTATCGACAGGAAAAAGCATATATTTAAACTGGCACAAGGAGAATACATAGCACCTGAAAAGATCGAAAACGTCTACCTGCGGAGTGAACCTATTGCTCAGGTGTTTGTCCACGGAGAGAGCTTGCAGGTAGGTGCTTTCTGAGCTGTGAGCGCTGATGAGCGGGCGTGGCGAGGGCCTGGTCTCCAGGGGCAAGTGTGATGCGTGTGAACGGATGGGCTTTCCCGTCTCACATGCTGGAATGTTTCAGGCGCTTTGTTGGTTATTGCTTTAGGGAGTTGCTTGTTCAGAAAGGTTTTTCTCTTTAGTTTCTACATTTTTATTTTACTCAGAGTGATCTGATGTGCCAAGGGAGGTTGGATAAAAGATACTAGGGAGTGGGTAAAAATATGCTTCCAATTTAATTATGAGGGGAAATGTTGACATATGGATTATAAGAAAGTTTAGAATATGCAAATATATTAAACCCAACTTATTTATCATATGCCCCGAGTCATCTTTGCGTGAATGGTGGTTTTGAGGCAACATATACTTGAAAACCAAGGTCAGTATTGTAGTGAAAGTCTCTTTGCCAAAATGTTGGACAGATGGTGACAAGGGAGAGAAGGGGACCTAGTTTCCTGAAGGTTAATCATTTTATAAACCTCAAGGTTTTTAAGTAATGTTAGAAGACTGTTTTGTTATAAGAGAGTGTGCCTAGTTTGTTTGTTTTTGACCTAGAATCTTACTATGCCTTTGATTTTTATTTGTTTATTTATTTCTCTGCTATCTACCACCTTTTTGCTTGACCGTTTTTTGTTTTTTTAAATATACACAAAAGTAAATAAAAATTAGGGTTTGTTAGATTTTGCTTGCCGGTGGTTCTTTTAAACCATCTATTATAAAATTCCTGATGCTGTGTATATTTTAGAGCCAGGAGTTGTGACCCTGGTCAGTGGACTCCCGGTGCTGGTGGTATGTTCTGAAGAGAGGATCTGTAGCGCTCGTCAGTTCCTGCCAGGGGTCTCAGGGACCACTGTTCTAGAACACATGCATCAGGCCAGGTAGTGACTCACTTCTCTGTGTTAAAGGCGTTTCTCGTAGCGATTGTGGTCCCCGACGTTGAGACGTTAGCTCGCTGGGCCCGGAAGAGAGGAGTGGAAGGGTCCTTCGAAGAGCTGTGCCGAAGCAAGGTAAGGCTCCGAAGCCCACAGTCTGCACGTCGGGTTGAGTGCAAAGCACAGGGACCTCCAACTCAGGAAGCGTCTTCTTTCTCTTACCTTGTTAGGATGTCAAAAAGGCTATCCTGGAAGACATGGTGAAGCTTGGGAAGGAGGCTGGCCTGAAAGCATTCGAACAGGTAAGACTTTCATGAAAGTGCAGGAGTTCTTGTAAAACAGGTGTTTGACTTGTTGAAGACTTTTTATGAATAGGTCACAGAAGAGGGTGAGGCGACCTAAAGAAGTCCGTGAGGAATGGCTAATGGAATAGTTTGGCAGGGGGAGGGGTTCCCTTAACCAAGGGCATGAATTCTCTTTCCTGGAGGTCAGGGTACAGTCCTGACTTCTGTCCTAGGAGTAGGCCACCACCCTTGCCGAGAGCGCAGCTGGCCAGAGGTGAGAGGTGGTTTGGACCCAGCATAAGGGTCTCTATCCCCTCATCTGTGGGTGTGGGGGGCTGAAGTGCTTTTCAGACTCGGTTTCGTCTGTCCCCTTTCCTCCTGTAATAGCCTCGTTTATCCGCAGGTCAAGGGCATTGCTCTGCACCCTGAACTATTCTCCATTGAAAACGGCCTTTTGACCCCGACAATGAAGGCTAAGAGGCCAGAACTTCGGAACTACTTCAGGTCACAGATAGATGAACTGTATTCCACCATCAAAGTCTAAAGGGAGGAGCAGAGCTCAGAGGAAACCACACGCCTCCGCGATCTTCTTCTTCTGGTGGCCTTCACTTGGAGGTTTTGACTACAGCGAGCATAGGGAAGGGCATGTCCGTGTTTGACTTGTGCGTTCGGGTTCTTGTCATAGGAATTTTAGAGGAAATGGGACTCTGCCTTACAGTCACCTCGCGTGGCAGACCATGTATATATGTAGTGATACACAATTTCCAAAATGAGCCTTAAAATTGTAAAGGGAAACTATAAATGTGCTAAGTTATTCTCGACCCCCTTAGTTGAGAAGGCGGGTGTGAAACTGCTGTCTCCCTGTTCTTCTAACCAAGGGATAGGACTTTGCTATTTCTGAGATGTCTGCTGCTTGCTGCAAATCCCGCAGCTGTCCACTGCTCGGCAGAGTGCAGTGCGCTGGAAGGAAGCTGTCCCTTACAGACAACTGTCCCAGCTGGAGAATGTCACAAGTGGACCAGAGATTTTTTTTTTTATCCCTGTCACCCCCTCCCCCACCTCACACGCACTCTCACGCCCCTTCTGACGAAGGTTATGAAACACCTGCTCCTCCCCACAGCCCCCCATTGTTCCTGCTGGAGCAGAAGCTCCCCGTGAAGTGAAGGACAGGCTGACTCAGAACAGTGTAGACACTGAGTCTCAGCAGGCGGCCCCCCGCTGGAGCGAATGGGTTCTGGCGCCCACGGAGCAGAATATTCTGGAGCCACCTCTCCAGGCCTGACGCCTCCCTCCATCCCGAGGGGACATGAAAAAAATCTGCCTTAGACTCTGCAGTGAAGACAAGCATTTCAAGAGAGAATCACCTAGGAAGACCACGCTCAACTGTGACACCCACGTAACTGTCTGCTTTGTCTTCACTGAACCGTCCCTCTGTCTGCGATGGCCAACGGGTTTTTAGTGTGGTTTTCATATCAGGTCCATGTTGTGACTAACTGGCTTTCCCCCAGAGTAGACTCAAGCAAGGCGTGTCATCAAAGCGCCGAGGGAGTCCACAGCTGGGCGCTCGTCGAAGCGGACAGTAACGAACACACGTTCCCCATCACCATGCTACCGGATTTCTACAAACTGTTTCTGAAGCCAAAATTCTAGGGTGTAGAAATCTGGAACACTCACTCACATCCTGGGAGGAACTTCCCCAGGGATGTTTTTTAATTTGGAAAATCAGCAGCATTTCACTTACTGCGAGCCTTTGCCACATGTGACTGAGTTGTCATTCGTGCACCTGGAGCGGTTGCTTCCAGATGTGTGCGCGCACGTGTCTCACAGACAGGAGGGTTGCACTGGAGAACCACCACCCTGGTAACACTGTGCGGTAGCTAACTGCGTATGTGTATTCTTAATCGCACCAAAAGTCAGTAATTTGTCACATTGGGGTTTTGAATGTTTGCTTTAAGTGTTGGCTATTTCTATGTTTTATAAACCAAAACAGAATTTCCAAAAACAATGAAGGAAACCAAAATAAATATTTCTGCATTTCACGTGAGTGACGCCTCTGTTTCCAAGCGCAGCTGTCGGTGCGCCCCAAGGAAAGAGCTCGCTGGCCTGGGCCTCGGAGGCTGCTGCCCCCTCCTCCCGGCCGCCCCAGCCTCCTTTGCTCTGCAGTCATGCTCACGGCCCCCACAGCGGTCCTACTGGGTGTGGAGAAGCCACTCACGGTGGGAATTGCATGGCTGCTCTCGAAAATGCACGTTCTTTGCTGGAAAACTACATTTCAGGAGACAGCGGCTGTAGTCGGTGATGCTGTGCGGGGGCGAATCGGCTGTTTTACTCGACCCCGTACTGTTCTTTCTTCCCCGCGGGTTTAGAAGTGGTTTCAGAGAGCAGCGGCCTTTTCCTGTTTCTTCCCCTCTGACCCCATCCTGTGCTGTCATTTTAATTACCGATGGCGTTAATTACTCAACCCCCAATTTCTTAGGCGCCTCTTGGTGTAAGTGGGTCCCCTCCCTCCGCCCAGGTTTGCTGTGGTGTTTGGCTCCTTCCCTACAGCTCGAGGCCCGCACACATCTCTGCTGAGGCTCCTGGTTCTCCTGCCTTTTTCTTTTGGTCCTCAAGACCCTTATCTTGTCTCCCCTCACCCCCCTCTTCCTCTCTTCCCCTATTACCTTCCCTTTTCCCTCCCTCAGCGCAGAACACAGCGCTTGGAAACTAGTAGGTGTTCAGTAAATAAGTCTTGTTTGAACAAATACCTGAAATTTTGAGCAAAACCCTTCTTTGTAATGAAGTTGATATAAACTCGTGGTTTTTTTTCTTTTAAAAATTATAGTGAAATACACATAAAATTTACCATCTTAATCATTGTAAGTGTACAGTTCAGTGGCATTGTGTTCATATTGTTGTGCGACGGTCCCCGCCATCCATCCACAGGGCTCCTTTCACCTTGCAGACCTGAAACTCTGCCCCCCGCCTGTGACAACCACATTCTACTTGTGTCTCCGTGCATGACTGCCCTGGGTATCTCACGTAAGTGGGACCGTCCGGTGTTTGTCCTTCTGTGACTGGCTTATTTCACTCCTGTGTCCTCAAGGTTCACCCACGTTGTAGCATGTGCCACGCTGTTTTCTACATTGGCTGCACCATTTTACATCAGCACTGCACGAGGGGTCCAATTTCTCCACATTCTCTCTATTACTTGTTGGCTTCTGTTTTTGTTGGGTTTTGGTTTTTTGATAGTGGCCATCCTAATGGGTGTACAGTGGTATCTCGTTGTGGTTCTGATTTGTACTTTCCTGGTGACTAGTAAGGTTGAGCGTCCTTCCATGTGCTCATTGGTCATCTGTTTGTCTTTGGAGAAGTATCTATTCAAGTTCTTTTGCCTATTTAAAAAATTGGGTGGTTGTTTTTGTCTGTTATTGTGCTATACAAGCCGAGTTCTTTATATATTATGAATATTAACGCCTAAACACTTCTCGGTCCCCACTTCCATGGCGCACGGCTTGGGGCCATGCCTGCTCAGCTACAGCAGGTGCACAATGTCCTCCACTCACAAATTAACACTGCACCTCAAAGGCCCATGGTCTCTGCCTCCGCCCTTCTCTCCAGCCAGGACGGAAGTGGAGGAATGAAGCAGTCCTTTCTTCCACCAGGCCCCGTGCATGCTAAGCTCCTTTCAGTAGCTGCCTTTCGGTAACTCTGGGCACAGCCTGAGCCCGGAGGCCCAGGTGGGAGGTGCTGATCTAGCCAGTCACCCTGCTGCCCCGAGCTCATCTAGCCCCTCCCTGCAAGCTCAGCCAGGACACACCCTCACTATCTAAACTCGAAAATACAGTTTGGTTTTAAGTATGTTTGGTAGTTACACATTTTAGCCCCACTCAATTTTTAGATCATTTGGAATAATACTGAGAACTAAAATGTGTAGTGTTGCTATATGCCAGGCACTATTCTTGAGATCGCCATCGGCAGGGCACTCCTTCCGTCACAAAGTGTGTGTGTGTGGGGGGGTGTGAATGGGTGGGGGAGATGGAGAGTGTGGAGTTGTATAAGTAGAGATGTAAGTAGACCCATGGTGATGGGTGGAAACATTAGAGAGCCTCTGTCTTTTTCCCACTGAACAGACGAGAAAACAGCCCTGGAGAGTTCAGCTCTGGTGTCCAGGTGAGTGGCGGAGCTGCAGGTTCTGACCCCAGACCTCTCTGTGCCTGGGGTCGTCTTGCTGTCCCTTCCTCTCCAAGGCGTGGTGCCTTGTGCCCTGAGCATCCTGAGCGCCCACTCACGGTGCCCGTTGTATTTTCTTTATTAGCCAGCCCTCAGGTGCAGCCAAACCCTCCCTGGCAAATGTACCTGTTCACCGTTTAAATAGCGTTAAGTGTTGGGACCCTTGGAATTTCCTTTCCATGTTTTCATCCAGATTTCCAGCACTTGTTTTTCATGGCAGCAGAAGCCTAGGAGAAGCCTGTCAGCCAGTGCCCAGTTGCTGGGCAGAGCAGGTGGCCCGAGGACAGAAGGTCCTGGTAGCACCTGGAGAGGGGAAGGCGGTGGTGGGTCTGTTAGAGGAAGGAGCCCGAGTGCCCCCCCCATCCCTCTGCACTCCCCCACGTCTACGTGGAAAGCGGGTGGGTGCTGAGTCTCACTGCAGGGGGCTCTCTGACGTTACGGGGCAGCCCCTCCTCTCTCAGCAGCACTGCCCAGCTCAGGTGAGCTGGAGCATGCAGATCACACCCAGGCGGGACCCACGCCCCACCCCAGCCGTCCTCTCGCCGTGTCCCAGAGCAGATGACCACGTCTGTGTTTGTGTGGGACTCGCTTCATCACTCAGCCTGGACACTTGGGAAATTGACCCATGTTACGCACTATCCATGTATTTAGCATAAAAACAATCCAGATTTTTCCTTCATGCCTTTTCACTCTTTCGCAATGAGTTGCTGGGACGGTGGGAATCTTGCTGGATGAATTCTGCTTCCCAGCCCTGTTCTTCAGGTCAGAGGGATTCTGTTCCTGGCTGGGAACAGGGTGGTTTTCTTTCACAAATATATTTTACAAATATATTATTAGCCGCTCTTTTGCTGAGATTTTTAAATGGGGCGGGGGTGGTGGTGGTTTTGGCTGTCAGATTTCTCTAACAGAAATCAGCCTTGCTAACTACCAAAGGCTGCTGCATTCCCC